AAACTCCTATGAATCTGAAGGTTAGTTAAATAAAATATATTGAATGAAAATCATTAAGTTCTCATTACTTTACGAACTGATCATCATATATTCTTTCATAGGAAAAACAATATATGAACCAATATGTTGTGCATTACATCAGTTAGAAAAAGCCATGTTTTGTGTCCACTGTGGCGCGAAGAAGCTCCAATATGAACCCCCAACATTATGCTGTTATAATGGTCAAATACAACTAGCGATTGTTGAAGTTCCAGAAGAGCTGCACAATTTGTTTACAACCAATTCTGATGAGGCGATTGAATTTCGTAGGCACATTCGAGCTTATAATAGCATTTTTTTCATTTACATCTTTTGGAGTTAATCTTGACAAGGAACTTGCGACGGCTAGACAAGGAGTTTGTACATTTCGTGTCCAAGGACAGATTTATCATGACCTTCCAGCCTTGATGCCAGAACAAAACAGTCCGTGTTACTTTCAGTTATTTTTCTTTGATACTGAAAATGAAGTGCAAAATAGATGAGGTTATTACAAGATATCAACCTAGATGAGGGAGTTATAAATAAATTGCTGAAAGTCCTTGAAGGGAATCCTTATGCTCAATTCTTACGTAGATTAAAAGATTTTCTATCTTTGGATAATTTTGAAATTCATATTACAAAGGATATTAAACTATATCAACGAGTTTACAATTCCCCCTCATCAGACCAAGTTGCGGGTATATGGATTGAAGGAAATAATCCTAATGCTCCTCTAGAAAGAGATATCATCATACTTGCACACTCTGGCCGCAGACATAGAGTTAAACATTATTTTGGGTGTTATGATCCATTACAATATCCTCTATTGTTTCCCAAAGGAGAGGTTGGATGACATCAAAATATCAAAAAGAAAAATGATTCTCGCAATGGTGCTTCTAACAAATATACAACCAGTTCAACAAGCGCTATGTTCACATCCGTAGAAAATATCTTTCATCGAGAACAAAAAGGTAATACTAAATACAAATATCTCAAAAACATATATTGAGTCTTATTTCAATAGATTAAATTCCTAAATATTTTTACATTGTAGATGTTGGACCTGAAAGCTCAGGAAAAGTATCATGTCGGGAATACTATTCCTACAAGCTACATATTAGAGAGAATAGTCAATCTACACTCCTATTTGTTGGTCGATTATTCCAACAATTTGTAGTCGATATGTATATTAAACTTGAGACTACTAGGTTAGATTACTATCAGAGGCAACAATCAAAAGTAAGAGCTGAATTATACCAAGGGATAGTCGACAGTGTGACAACATGAGAAACTAGAGGAAATCAAGTCGGCCAAAGAATAGTTCTTCCTGCATCATTTGTTGGAGGACCTCGGGACATGCGTCGTAGATATCTTGATGCAATGGTCTTAGTACAACGATATGGAAAACCAGATCTTTTCATTACCATGACATGCAATCTTGAGTGGAAGGAAATCAAGGAAGAATTGAAAGAAGGCCAAATTCCTCAAGACCGTCCAGATTTGACCTCAAGGGTGTTTTGAGCAAAACTGCATGACCTTAAAGACCAATTGTTCAAGAAGGAAATCTTTGGGAAAGTTGTAGCACACGTCCATGTAATAGAGGTTCAAAAAAGAGGATTGCCACATGCACATATATTAATAATCATGAAGACGGATACAAGATCATGACACCAGATGAATATGATAAATTTGTATTTGCCAAAATTCCTGATGAACAACAATATCCGTCACTACATGAAATTGTTGTTAGACATATGTTACATGGCCCCTGCAGTGATCTAAATAAAAACAATTCATGTATGGTGAACGGAGACTGCAAGAATCGTTATCCTCGAGGATTCTGCTCAAAAACAATGCAAGGAAAAGATGCCAATCCACTTTATAGAAGAAGAAATGACAAGCGGCAAGTACAGGTATGAAATAAAATGTTGGATAATAGATGGGTAGTTCCTCACAATCTATACCTTCTCACAAGGTACAATTGTCACATCAATGTTGAGATATGCTTTGGTTTGAAAGCTGTTAAATATCTCTATAAGTACATCTACAAAGGTCACGATAGGGTTGTCGTATATATTGCCTTTCCTGATGGAGACAACGTAATTGATGAGATTCAACAGTTTCAAGATGCAAGATGGGTATTTGCACAAGAGTCAATATGGAGAATTTTTGAATTCAATTTAAACGAGATGTATCCACCAGTAATCAACTTGCAATTACACCTCCCCAAAAAACAATTAGTGTGTTATTGGGAGACTCACAATCTACAACAAGTCATTCTCTAGGACCACATCACGAAAACAATGCTCATAGAATTCTTTAATACTTGCTTAAATGACATTGACGCAAGGATATATCTATATAGAGAATTCCCAGAACATTATGTGTGGAACAAGCAGGGTAAATGTTGGAGTAAAAGAAAAAAAAAAGAAGTTATTGGTCGTATGAATGGAGCAAATCCTATCAAAGGTGAAAGATACTATCTGAGGATTCTATTGAATCATGTAAGAGGCCCGACATCATTTGAAGATTTATTAACTGTCAATGGAGTGCGTTATTTGTCGTTCAAAGAATCTANATCCTATCAAAGGTGAAAGATACTATCTGAGGATTCTATTGAATCATGTAAGAGGCCTGACATCATTTGAAGATTTATTAATTGTCAATGGAGTGCATTATTTGTCGTTCAAAGAATCTGTACAAAAAAGAGGACTTCTAGAATCAGATGAAAGTATCTTAGAATGTTTGAATGAAGCGGTAACATTTCAATTGCCTCAAGCACTTCGTAGATTATTTGTAACAATATTGGTTTATTGTGGACCTTCAGAAGTAAGAAAACTATGGGACGATCAATTCAAATCCATGTCTGAAGACTTCAAGAGAATCTATAAGGATCAACACTCAACCTATATATCATGTACCTTGGATAGTATAAATTCTTTTCTAGAAAGCATGGGCAAAAATATCAGAGATTATGACTTGCCAACAAGGGTTGTAAGAGAGAATTCGAGTGCAATTGAACCAAGAAACACACAATCAAGAGAATTTGTAGATGAAATAAGCATCGAGACTCCACCAAAAGATTGCACAATATCCCTCAACTTTAATTCTGAACAAGAAGAAGCATATAGAATAATATTGAATCGGGTCAACTTAGGTCAGCCAGGGGTATTCTTTGTTGATGGTCTAGGAGGAACCAGAAAGACGTATCTCTACCGTGCATTGCTTGCGAACATAAGATCCAAAGGACTGATAGCACTTGCAACAGCAACATCTGGTGTAGCAGCTGCAATAATGCTAGGGGGTAAAACAACTCACTCACAATTCAAAATACCTATACTTATAACGAGGACAAGCCTATGTAACATATCCACGCAGAGTGGAACAGCAGAGTTAATACGCAAAGCAAAACTCATTATATGGGATGAAGCCCCCCTGGCTAAGCGGTTTGCCATTGAGACACTCGATAGGAGCTTAAAGGACATAATGAGCAATTTTGATTTATTTGGAGGAAAGGTTATCGTCTTTAGTGGAGACTTTAGACAAGTACTACCAGTTGTTCGGCGTGGTTTAAGAGCAGAAACCGTTAATGCAAGCTTAGTGAGATCACACTTGTGAAATATCATGGAAAAACTAAAATTTAGACAAAATATGAGAGCAAGGGCAGATCCAAATTTTAGTGATTTTCTCCTGCAAGTTGGAAACGGAGATGCACAGAAAGACAATGATGATAGGATATCTCTTCCAGAAGAAATGGTGATAAAGTATGACAATGAGGAAGCATCTGAAAATAATCTCATCAACAACATATTTCCAGCATTAGAACAGAATGCAAACTCGGCAAACTACATGACAGAGCGTGCAATCCTTGCAACAACCAATCAAGATGTCGACAAGTTGAATGAACGATTGATTTCGATATTTCCATGAATAAGTACAACATTCAACAGATTTGATGAAGTAGTCGATGATACAAACAATTATTACAAAGAAGAATTCTTAAATTCCTTGATGCCAAATGGCCTCCCCCCACACAAATTAACCCTCAAACCGAATTGCCCAATCATGCTTCTAAGAAATCTGGATCTGTCAAATGGTTTATGCAATGGAACCAGAATGGTATGCAAAGGATATTTCGAAAATGTAATTCATGCTGAAATAACATATGGGCAACATATTGGGAAACAAGTTTTCTTACCAAGAATGCCGCTTTCACCTGCCGAAAATGAAGGTTATCCATTCCAGTTCAAGCGAAAGCAATTTCCAATACGTCTGTGTTTTGCAAAGACTATAAATAAAGCACAAGGCCAAGCAATACCATATGTTGGAGTTTACCTTCCTCAACATGTTTTTTCCCATGGTCAATTATCTATCGCATTATCATGGAGAACTTCAATGTTAACAACAAAGATTTTGGTCAAACCAGATAATAAGAAAAGAAGAAAATGAGCATATACGAAAAATATTGTGTACATAGAGGTTTTATCCCCCCACAGGTAATGATACCCATGAATTCTTGTTCTTATGTGACTATACAACTTCTTTATACTATTAATAAAAATAGTGTAGTATTTCAATTATGAAGTATTTCACGTTCATGATTAATGCTTTCATTCTTCAATCATTAAAAATTGTACTTCTCTTTTTTACAAATGATGATGAAACAGCAAGCCTCTAGTACACTCTACAGATTCAGTGGATTAATGTTCAAAACTATAATTGCAATTTAAAGTAGCTTAGCCTTTGCATATTCTATCTACCTTCAGAAACAGGTGATAATCAAAGCAAGGATATAATTTTATTAATTTTTTTATTTTATAATTCAGTTTCACATTGAATCAGAAATTATCTGCAAACTTTTAGCTTTTATATTGCATTCTTTATCTGTGTCTGTATGATTTTTTTTTTTTTTTTTTAATTCTGTGTAGGTAATAAGCACAAATAATAGTATTTATTTTGCAAGCAATAAATTCCAAGCAACAATGTCAATTGACGAAGTCTTAACAACTGCAGTTTCAACAATCAACCAATTAACAAAATACGAAAACAAGTGGAATCTAAAAGTGAAGGTTCTTCGAAGAGGATCAATTACCACATATAGCAATAACAAAGGCACTAGAGAAATTTGGAAAGTCATTTTAGTTGATGAGGAGGTTAGTTAAATTATCAATATTATCTTAGTACTTCTGAGATACACATTGTTAATGTTTTATTTTTTCAATACAAAAATTTTGCAGGGTACAAGAATACAAGCGTTGATGTTTAGCAATGTAGTCACCAAATTCAGTAACCTTTTTATCAAAGATAAGACATACTTTGTTTCCAACGGTATAGTAAAGCCTGTAAACCCAAAATACACAAGTGCTCACAAGGACATCAAATTGGCACTAACAATCTTAACTGAAGTCAAGAAAACATAAAGCGAAATAACATCTCAAGAACTATCATATAACTTCATCTCTTTCATAGATGCAGTAACACAACCAGACGAGAATATGACATATGGTATGTATCCTTAAACTATATTTCACACACCATGCATAATCAATTATCTTAATAATAGTAATTTTGTAATTGTACATCAAAATTTGTGATGCAGATATAATTGGTTTTGTTATTGAAGTCAAGTCAATAATCAATATAAACAAAGATGGAAAAGGTCCCCCATCTAATATGAGAGAAGTTGTACTCAAAAATAACGAGTAAGAATCAACCATACCACATTTTTCTAATGTTATAGCTTATAGAATTTACTTAATACTTTCTAATGATCACAGATTGTATTTGCTACGGTTAACCCTATGGGGGGATCTAGCAAAAAATGAAGGTCAAATACTTGAACAATTACTTCCACAAAAACCAATCATTGCAACATCTCAAGCAAATGGCTCAATATACGAAGGTGAGTACTAAATTATATTTGTGAATTAAACAATTAATTTACAGTACTAAGACATTTGTTGTCCTATTTCAGGTGAATTTCGGCTTACTACAACATCTATTACGACAATTGAAATAAATCCAGAGCTGCAAAAAGCAAAGCAAATGTGAGAATGGTTTGCAATTAATATACATTTTCCATAAATTTATTTATTTTTTTTTAAAAAAAACATCTTGTGATAATAAATCCAATATGCAAGTTAACCACTTTTATAGATGATGAGAATGAAAAGCAATTTTCAACTCCAACAAAAAGAAAAAGAGATGCAGAACAAGGAACAATTGTTTATATCATGAAGGGAACACCACCCACAAAGAAGGTATGACTTAAATACATATTACACTTAACAAATTTTTATATTTTAGTTTTAATATATATATATTTAAATTTTCTACAATTTGCAGACAGTTTTTTGTGCTTTAAAAGCAATGATTCTAAGCATAAAAAATAAAGAAGAACCATGGTACAATGCTTGCAAACACTGCCAAAGAAGGGTCATCATCACAAAAGATGGAGCAGAATGCAAAAAATGTGAAAAAACAAATGTTGAACACACTCACAGGTAACTATGATATGCAATAGTTAGTTCAAATTTTCTACATTTTTTTTTAACTTTACACCACCATTTAATATTTTCAACCATCTTATTAATGTTATACAACATTTTTTTATTATAATATATATATACTCAAACTCATCATATCAGNACACTCACAGGTAACTATGATATGCAATAGTTAGTTCAAATTTTCTACATTTTTTTTAACTTTACACCACCATTTAATATTTTCAACCATCTTATTAATGTTATACAACATTTTTTTTATTATAATATATATATACTCAAACTCATCATATCATATGGAGACGAAAGGGCTTCTGTTACTTTATTTGATGCAACACAAACTCTTATAGGATGTCCAGTTTCAAAATTCATTGAATCAAAAGAATAGGTATGCAATAACAAACTCACTCAATTCAAAAATTATTAAAACAAATACTAACTCTTTTCGTATAACATGACAGAACAAATTGCAATGCATGTATTACCAAAATCTACTATTATACNTATTAAAACAAATACTAACTCTTTTCGTATAACATGACAGAACAAATTGCAATGCATGTATTACCAAAATCTAGTATTATACAGTGGACAGTACTTCAACTTTTTGATAAAAGTTAGCAAATTAAATGAGAATGATCAATCAATGGGAAGATTTGTTGCTCAAGAAGTTGAAGAATTGAGGATTCAGAAACAAACATACAATCGGCAAGAAAAGGACAAAAAACAAAGAAGAATTTGTTTCCTTGAATATACAGAATTGCCAAGAAAAACAACCACTCAACAATGTTTTTATGCATTATCATCCTCCTTTTTAGTTATTGTTGAACATACATGACTTTTTGCANCGGCAAGAAAAGGACAAAAAACAAAGAAGAATTTGTTTCCTTGAATATACAGAATTGTCAAGAAAAACAACCACTCAACAATGTTTTTATGCATTATCATCCTCCTTTTTAGTTATTGTTGAACATACGTGACTTTTTGCATTTTTTCATATTCGAATAAAGACTTTTTATATTATTTTTTAATTCCAATATTTGATGGGACTCGCAATCAATTTAACAACTATACTGAATTAAATCAGTAAATTAGTTCCAAAAAAGTAGTACTCCTTTTCAAACACCATATATTGTAAAAAAAAATTGAAAAAATTAAAAGATTAAGTGTATTTTTTCTTGGTATTTTAATTATTCACCTACCTTTACAAAAAAGAATTCAATTTTATTACTCATCAATTTTGCATTTCAAATAAATTTAATAACAAATTAATAAACTAAATTTTTTTCAGGTGCAACGCACGTGTGCATTGCTAGTTACTTATAAATATCAGTATCTGTAAAAAACTTTTGATTTCCTATTTTATCTTTAATTATTATTATAAACTCAATAATACCCACATATTACTTTCATCTCATTTTTATTTTTTATACCTATTTGAGTTTTAAATTATTTTGAACTCTTTTATTACAGTATTTGAATTCTAAATTTTTTATTATTTTCGTACTCTTTTTATTTCCTATACCTATTTGACTTCTAAGTTATTTTGAACTTTTCTATTAATAGTATTTGAATTATAAATTATTTTGCACTTCTTTTAGCAGCAGGACATTTTCGTAGGTTTTCTATATCTTTGTAAATAGAAAATCTATTAATAATAAGATAGAATCTAATTTAAAATTTTTTTTATTTCAAAATTTAATTCAATTTCAATTCATTTGGGAAAGCAAAACAATGGTTCAGATTAAATCTAATTTTAATTCAAAGGCCTAAATTTCATCTCAATTCTTTTGATTAGATCTAATGGTCCACGTTTCATCTCAAACTAAAAATAAATCCCGCCCACATGAAACAAACCCCTACACACTACCCACCTTTGCACTGTTCACCACTCACCTCCTCTGCCATGGCTCATGGCTCAACACAGCGGTACCCTTACACGCTACCCTTACACTGTTACCCTTACACCGTTACCCAAACTCTTCTCACTCATCTGTCATTACCCAGACTCTTCTCACTCATCTGTCATGGCTCAGCGATAGCACACACCATTCACACCAACGTTCTCGGGGGCAGCACACACATCAGCGGCAATCAGCGATAGCTCAGCCCAGGTACCTCCCTCTCCCACTCTCTTCTTCTCTCTCTCCAATTGCTCAGCAGCACACACACCATTCACATTCACACACACAACTCCCTTTCACCAATGATCGACTTTTGAAACATGGGGGTTTTCATGACATTGCGCATAAACATGGGGGTTTTCATGACATTGCACATAAACATGGGGGTTTTCAGCAGCACACACATCGAGGTTTTTGAGCTTTAATGGAAANCATGACATTGCACATAAACATGGGGGTTTTCAGCAGCACACACAGCGAGGTTTTTGAGCTTTAATGGAAAAAAGTTCTCTAAGGACAGAAGGTGGTGGACCTCAGTGGGTTAGTCCCATCGGGTCTCTTCACTCACCCGGGTTCATGGGTTTCATGCCCAAATTGTCAACTTTGTCCTTGGAGAACAACACGTTCTCGGGCATGATACCGATCCAATACGCATTCAAGATGTTGGTTCCGATTACATTTAGATTGGGTGTCCTTTAAAGTTTTTTTTCTGTAATGGTGTACAGAAATCTTCAATGGAGTGTAGGAGCTTTGATCCTACCATTCCTTGAACAGTGTGAACAAGGTCTGAACATACATCAAAATGCTTACTTATAAGCAAAGCATTAGCTTATTTTCGCGAGTCAAAAACCCAGTACATAATTATTCACAAATAGCATGAATGAGTTATTTGCATCCCCGCTTATTAGAATTGAATTTGGGAATTTGAAGCAATAATCAATTAAGTCCTTAAGTTAGATAACAAACTGGCTTCGTTTGTACATCGGGTACTTGGATTATGTATTTGAGTGATAGTTAAGTAAGTAGTATTGGGTACCAACATTTTGTAAGTAAGTATTCCTTACAACAATTATAATATCAAATTTTTGTCAATTAATTGTATGAAATCAGATATCGACTTAACGATCAATTATTTTCCCAAGCTATCTTTTGGCTATAAAGGAGCAATAACGTCACCAAAAACACAAAGTAGAACCAAAATGAAGCATAAAACAACTGCTGAAAAATCTGCTTTCATAAATCACATATCAATGCCCAGATTTTTTTTTTAATTGATAAGAAATTCAGTACATAACATACTAAATGCAAAATCACCCTTCAAAGCCAATGGAGCTGCGTCCTCTCCAGCCGTATGTTTTGCGATGCCTCTGTTTTTCCCAGCAATACCCTTTTTTCCCTCTGTTTTTCATCTTTGGCAGCAACTTTGTTTTTTCTCTGACTATCCATTAGACCGCTAATATATGAAACATGGATACTCAAGGATTTGTGGGTTTGACTGTGTGTGTATGTGTTGTCATGAGAGAGAGAGAGATGGGGTGTACCTGGGCGTTTGATTATGCATTTGATTTTGGCTTATTTTGAATTTATGCATTTGATTTTGATTTTTTTTGTTGGTTATCTTTATCTAATTTGCTTTAATTTTTCAATCATAAATAGTTGAGACATGATTTTATCAAGTGTGGCGAGTCATTAATATGTGATTGTGAAAATTCTCGACAATACTGTAGGCCGTCACCTCATTTTTCTAATAGTTTAATTTGGGCCTGTTTTTTCACAGTGCCACTTCTTATTTCTAGAGTTTCCTTGGACATTAATACGACATGTTCTATAATTTTCCGTATAAATGCATTAGATATTTTTTTATTTGTTTGGGGTAGAGAACATGCCCTTCGGTCTAATTTTCCTTTTTTAATTGTTTGGATTAGGACTATAAGTCATCACTGCTTAAATTAAAATTGTGTGAATCAACTGAGTTGTGATTTAAATTAAAAAATTTTTTATCATGATCTT